TCTTTCTGTATTCGGCCTCTATTGTTGGATATTTCATCTTGCATATCTTCTGAGATATTTTTCACTATTGCATTTTAGTTCCAAGTTGTTTCAGTTCCACACGCAGTTTTCCTTGTAAACTCACAGGGATTCGAGCTGTTTTATCGAGCGACACAGGGGCAGAAGCTTCCAAAGCTACAAAGGGTGGAGGGCTGCGAGGCAAATTAAACAAAGTTGTTTTAGCCTACAGTGGTGGCTTAGACACTTCTGTTATTGTTCCATGGCTGAGGTAGTTGTACTGTTTTATCTTATATATTCTAATACTATCCATTTCTTTGGTCGAACGAGTTACCGCTGTTCTGTCGTTATTCTCGAAGCACAAGCTTTACGATTAGTTTTTTTTTCTTGATCATTAAGATACACTTATGAAACCTCTGATTTCATTATTTTGCTTTTGCAGGGAGAACTATGGTTGTGAGGTTGTTTGCTTCACAGCCGACGTTGGCCAAGTAAGTGGGAGAAACAAGTTTGCTAAGCAGTTTAATTTACTCTAGTTCTTTTATTATGCGGTTTATGTTTATAATGCCATCTTATTATGTTCATAATTTATATGCCATTTCAAACTTTTGCAGGGAATAAAGGAGTTGGATGGTCTGGAAGAAAAGGCCAAGGCAAGCGGTGCTTGCCAGTTAGTAGTTAAGGACTTGAAGGAGGAATTTGTGAGAGACTATATATTTCCTTGCTTGCGAGCTGGTGCCGTTTACGAAAGGAAATACTTGTTGGGGACCTCAATGGCCCGGCCGGTTATTGCGAAGGTTACTATCTGTTTCGGTATTTATACATTCTGTCAAGCATGACACTTGAAGCTCTTCTTAGAATCTTCATAACATGCTACCTGTGAACTGCGACTTGTACTTCATTTGCCGGGATCCTATTTTACTTTTACTTCGAATGTGATTAAGGTTTGTTAATTGAGGAAATCAAATAGGTGTTATAAAATTCAACCTCTTCCGTGACAAGATTATTATGACATAATAATGATAGATAATGTATGATCCCCGGTTAATAAAAGTGTCTTTTGTTCTTCTGCAGTATCTTTAACTTCAACTGCATTTTCTTTTTATGACAGGCCATGGTGGATGTTGCAAGAGAGGTCGGCGCTGATGCTGTTTCTCATGGATGCACAGGGAAAGGAAATGATCAGGCATGCCTTTCAACCCAACCTTTGTTCGGATTAATTGTTTGTTTCTTCAGAAAAAAAAAATATTTACCAATATATTATCCATCCAGGTTCGGTTTGAGCTTACATTCTTTGCTCTAAATCCCGAATTAAATGTTGTGGCTCCTTGGAGGGAATGGGATATTACAGGGAGAGAAGATGCTATTGAGTATGCTAAGAAGCATAATGTGCCTGTTCCGGTGACAAAGAAATCGATATATAGCAGAGACAGGAACTTATGGCACTTAAGCCACGAGGTTCGGTAACTAAGCCTTATTTGTCTGTTTCTTGTTGGCGCTTCGGTCTTTCTATAAGCTCCTTTGCTATACTTAACACGATTCCGTTCGATATTAATCAAACCTGGCATTGAAGGGAGATATCTTGGAGGACCCAGCAAATGAACCTAAGAAAGATATGTACATGATGAGTGTTGACCCGGAAGATGCTCCTAATCAACCAGAGTATGTTATACCTGCTGCCTCTATTGATTTTTCGTGTGTTTTGTGTGTCAATTTAACAGCGCTTCACACGCACATCGTCTACAGATACGTGGAAATCGGAATTGATTCAGGTATCCCTGTTTCACTTGATGGAAATACTCTTTCGCCGGCTTCTCTTCTCGCTGAACTCAATGAAATCGGCGGGAGACATGGGATCGGTCGTATCGATCTGGTTGAAAACCGCCTTGTTGGTATGAAGAGTCGTGGAGTCTACGAAACTCCCGGTGGTACCATCCTATTCAACGCCGTGCGTGAACTGGAGACTCTAACCCTCGATCGCGAAACCATTCAAGTTAAAGACTCACTTGCCCTCAAGTACGCCGAGCTAGTTTATGCAGGAAGGTGGTTCGACCCACTTCGTGAGTCCATGGACGCATTTATGGAGAAGATTACAGAAACCACTACCGGTTCCGTTACTCTGAAACTATACAAAGGATCGGTTTCCGTAACTGGTCGGACCAGTCCCTATAGCTTGTACCGAGAGGATATCTCCTCCTTCGAGAGCGGCGACATATACGATCAAGCCGACGCAGCCGGGTTTATTCGCCTCTACGGTCTTCCGATGAGGGTCAGGGCAATGCTCAAGAAGGGTATCTAGGTGCATTCTTTTTTTGTATCAGTGGAATTTCAGGGCTTGGCTTAATAATAATGGTGTATTGTGAATGGATCAAGTATGACATATCATTTTACGTTTAGTACCTAAACTATTAATATTGGTATATTTTAGTACTTTAACTTTTAATTTTTTTTTAAAATCATATCTAATGTTTAGTTTTTGTTTTATTTTAGTACATTGCCGATAAAAACTTAATGATCCTATATTTTTTATGAGTAAATTATATCATTCATCACTCAACTATTTTCTCACTTCTATTTTGGTGCTAAAGTTTAAAATTTTCAATTGAACTATTGAACTTTCAAATTATTCCTAATTTAATCACTCTAATTTAGGGGTGTTCATTCGGTTAAAACAGTGGCCGACCGAACTGAAATACATTTAACCGAATTAATCAAACTTTTTTTCTTTAACCGTTAATCGAACCGAACTTTTTTTTAAAGTATTAACCGAACCGAATAAATTTTGGTTAATTTTCAAATTAACTAAATGTTTTCTAGAATTTTAGAATTTAACATTTTTTAATTAAAAATAATAATTTATAATTAATTTAAATAATATCTAATTATAAATAATATCTAATTAATTTGATTCAAACATTTTGCATTTAGTTTTGATATTATTTTAATTAATTAATATTGATTTGGGTTTTAAATGAGTTTTAAATGGATTGGGTCTCTTAATATAATTATATTTAAAGGTTAATTCGGTTAATTAACCGATTTCGAACCGAATTAACCGTTAACCGAATTCCAAAAAAATCTTTAATCGTTCCCCGATCGAATTAATTCGGTGGTCGACCGAATTAACCGAACTAATTCGAGTTAATTTGGTTAAAACCGAATTTTGAACACCCCTACTCTAATTTACTTTATTAATAATTTTTGTGACGTGACATTTTTATTATTTTATTAATATATAGTTTAAAAAATGAAAGTTAGAGTGATTAAATTAGGAGTAATTTGAAAGTTAAGTAACTGAATTTTAAAAAAATTAACTTTGGTGACCAAAATAAAAGTGAGAAAATAGTTGAGTATAATTTTTGTGACGTGACATTTTTATTACTTTATCCTTATTTGTTATATCAAAATATAAGTTTCGCATAACCTTCCCTTTTGAAATTATATTACTTTACTAGTTAAACAGTAGATGTGATGTCCTTGATCTGTTTTGTTGTTTGTGTAAACGATGACATACTTCACATAACTACAATTCTGACAAGAATTTAGTTCTCATGGGTATGTCCTTAAAGCCATGGACATTGTGTGGTTCTGCAAGAGTTTGAGAAAACTATGCCCCAATAGTCTCTTTAAAGCGCCCTCACTTCACTCTTACATAGGTGATTTATGTTGTTCGACTCACCGTAGCACTCAATAGTCATTAAAAACCTAGCTTAGCCTATACCACTTTGACATAGGAACGAATTTGGGATAAAAAACCCCATAGTGACCGTACACGGATTATACAATTAGGTTGTCCCTTTTAACCTAGATATTGGGATCTCCAGTCAACAAGGTAGGGTTTTCCTTCACATAACGCCTTTAAATTTCATGGGTTTTAGTCTATTCCTTTTAGATATCTTCTCAACTTGATCTTGATTTAATCATTGGGTTAGCGGATCCACAATGTTATCATTTGATTTTACAAAATCAATAAAGATAACTCTATTTGAGAACAATTGTCTAATGAAATTGCGACAACATTGCATATATCTCGACTTATCATCATACTTAAAATTTTATGCTAGTCACATTATATACATACTGTGGGCACACGTTTTAGCCATTCAAGAATATATTCCAAGAAATTTCAAAGCTATTTAATTCGTACCGGGTAGAATATCCGCAAGCCCCCGGAAGGCCAAACGGTTCGGACATTGATGTCGCCCACGTCGTGCAGGTGCGCCCCAACCTGAATGGGTTCGATGGGCTTCAATTTACACCCCTCATGTGTCTGCACGCGAGGCACAATTCAAATCATTCAGCTTATTCTCTAGACTCATCTAGAACTATAAACTTAAATTTCATTATGAATTTGGTTATAATCGTTTTCTTAAAGATTTTCACATCACGACTTCTCTTTCAATGTGAAACATATTCACTTGTGTTGTTGATATTTTAAATATCAAATTCCAACTAGCTTCAGTCTATCATTCTAACGGAAAACCAAGAGCTTGTCGGCCGTGAAAAATCAGTTGATCAATAAAAACATTTGATATTTCTTAAAAGACCTAATGTCTCATCTCACTAAGACGAGCTGAATTTTAACACGGATAAATTGTGTTATTAATTTAGACTTACTAATGGTATGGACCACAGAACTAGAGGACTAAATTATGCTAAATAAAAAATTGAGGGACTAAAGCTATTGTTAAGCCATTCTTATTTTTAAAAATTTACATGGAAAACAATTCGATGACACATGAATACTGCATGTGGAGTCATTCAGTTCAAATGTCACATTTGCTCAACATAAATAGAGCTCGAGCAATGAATCGGAAGGCCAGCTGAATCGCCAAATCTGACCGGAAAATGTGGCAAGATGACTCTCGCCGTTGTGTGATAAACAAACGACTGATATCGGAAATATAACTCCGCAACGGGACTTTGGCCGGTCAATAAGACACCATCCATGGAAGATGGGAGTTCTCCTGGTCTATCAATTACCTTTTAACCTTACAGCATTATACAGAGCCTCTTCCGCAATAGGCCTCCACTGTTCCGCACACGAGTAGTTGATTCCGAGACCAACACTAAGTCCTCTCAGAAGATGTACCGTACGAAGAATCGAAAACAGTTCTTCCGGAAAAGACTTCCATGGCCAAGAAAAAGAATTCTTTATAAACACGAGAAACGAAGGAACGTTGAATGCTAAATGAAGGGATAAATCTTATAAGAACCGAGTGTTCCGACAATGTGAATATCAACAAACGGTGAGCAAGAATAATGATCGGCTTCCCTTACTTGTACACCGATTTTTTTTATCGAAGCATCATCAGAGAATGGTTGCAGCATTACGACTCCTAGGTAGTTTTGTATCAAACATCGTCTGCGCCAAGCGAAGCAGTTCCTGTTGTTCATTCTTACAATTGCTTACAGTAACAATGCCAAGTTCCCTAAAAGCAAGGATAACAAAACATAATCTACACGGATAAGATATCCGAAAAAGCTAGGATAACAGCGTCAAACCAATGCATTATCAAAAGTATCACTCAATATATGTGAATCAACCGGCATTTTCCGGTCATATCCGAGCAACCAAATTTCATATGGAAAGGCTGCTATAAAAAACATAAACCGAAACTAAGAAGTTTACCTATAGCTTTCGATTGCTTTTACGGGATCGTTATCAGCCATGGCAAGAACCAAATTAGCATATCCAAGCCTCAACTGGTCTGGTAAATCCTTCACTTGCCCGTAGTCCAGCAAGGCAACCTGAGTTAAAGCGAAAAAGAAAATAATCGCACAATCAGCAGTATGCAATATGGCATGTCAGTATGCTATATAACAGACTTAAAAGTTAAAAACCATGACAGCCAACTCGCCTCGGAACCTTTACAGATCAGTATATTTCCGGGATGGGGATCTGCATGGAAGAAACCGGTCTTTAGTATCATCTGTCCATATGCTAGTGTCAAACTCTTCAGTATATTCCTGCATTTACAAGTGTTATTTTAAGGCCGTTATCATACATTCTCTAAAAAGCTACGGTAAAGGAGGAGAACGGTAGTCATTTATCGATAGGTATACAGATCTTCTTATTTTCTCTTTTGAGCAGGATTAAGAAGTAAATAACATAGTAAACCCAAAGTGATAGACTCGTAGGACTTCAGAAAGAACCTAAGAAACGTTAACAGGAAGAAAAACGCTAAGCAATAAGATGATCGGGTAATCAAAGAAGGCGGGATAACGCAATACCAAAAACTGGAATTTATTGCTTCATTTCAAGTTCACATGAAAAGGACAAATGCAGTAAGTATAGCTGGTAAGGTAAGAAGGAATGAGATAAGAAACCACATGGTCTCTTTAGTATTCAAGATGCTTACTGCTTTGCCACCATAGCCATCTTACTACCGGGATTTACTCCTCTTCTAGCCATTTCATCACCAAGATTCAAGATTGGGATTCCGTCGATATAGTCCATCACTAAGACCCTCCTATTTAAACAAGTAAACACCACATCAACTGCACTGGCAAAGCATTTCAGCTTGTCAATCGAACTGATAAAAACAAAACAAAATCCTAAACTAAAATATATAATGCATTTCCAGGCATCCTCGCCTCATATCCTTGGCTAGTCCTAGGACTAACCTGTACAATAAATAAGTAGAAAAAAAAATTAACTTGCCTTGTAACCAAGCCTTGACGCACTCTCGGAACCAAGACTGGAGTCTTTTTGTTATTCTCGTATAAGAAACGGCGAATTCTCTCCATAGCATTGGCTTCTCTTGGAAAGTCAAACTCATATCCGATCTTGATAGCACAAAGGGTAAGTAAGTAACTACTTGCACAAGAACAAAGAAATTCAAACGATACTCTCAATTTACATAATCTGAAAAGTATTTAAAGCATAAGTGCTATCAAAAACTAGATTAAAACATTAACACGAGAAAGTTCACTGTTGAGACTTTACATCCAACTATAATTACAGTTACCAAAACTTCAGGAATTGAGATCAACCATCTAAAATGGACATTACTATACAAATTTCATCACTAGAGCTTGACCAACATCATGAGTTGCAAAATTTTATCAGAGTGTAGTTTCTCATCTATCGTACTGAACAGGTTAAAGAAATACCGAGTATAATTACTAACAGAACAAATTGAACAATCTGATATAATATTACACCTCATGGTAGTTTGATTCAAGTAAGAACAACGGTTAAATTCAATAAAATCGGGGAAAACAAGAAAGATAATTCTAGCTTGACCAATTTCTGAAATGGTTAATTCTTCTCGTACCAATATTAATTATTTTAAAGATAGAAGAAAAAGTTAAGAAATGAAACACAATAAATTGGAAAACAAGGATAGATAATGTGCTTTGCAAGGAGCATCAGTGTGAATATGGATACCTGTTTTTCCATTTCCTTGGTAACGGAATATAGATCAAACTTTACATCGGTCTTTTGCATGTACAGTGCAAATGCTTGCAAGTTACGTATATCTGTCATCATCAGATCTTGGACTCCTGGATGTTGAACCTGCCACACACTTAAGTAGCAGGAATCACATGAACATACATGGCTTTAAAATCATCATCAAGGGGACTTACCTTTACAACAACATCATTCTTATCACCTCGCAGTCTTGCTCGATGAACCTAATTCAGATATGAACATACTTTAAGGTATATCCATAGGATTCTTATGAGCATTATTCTATTTCCATTTAAAACAGCAAATGTGCCATAACCTGCAGTATGTTGGTAAGCATGAACCTTATTTATGAAAATATTGTATGTTTAAATACTGAAACCTATATCGTTCTCAGCTGCTCATGTAAGAATTTTAAGCATGGTAAAGAAACGGAAAACAAACCTGTGCGATCGATGCTGAACCAAGAGGATTTACTTCAAAGTTTTCAAAAATTTCGCTGATACTTCGACCAAAATCCTCCTCTAAAACAAGCCGAACGGCATCAAACGGTGTTGCTGGGGCTTGATCACACAAAGTAACAAGCCTTTTCACCCATGCCGCCGGGGCTAGGTCTGGTTTCCCAACAATTTGAGCAATCTAATTCAATTCAATTGACAGTACCCAACAAGCAATTAAAACAGAATCCTCAACATATTACAGTATCTCGAAACGAAAACATAAGAAAAATCGAACATAAAGGTAAAATTCGGTCTTTAATTGAACAGCAAAGAGCTAAGAACAGCAAAGTCAACAAAAGGAGCAATCAATTAGAATTCAAACAGTGAACAAAGTAAAAAAAAAAGGGACATAACCCATTTAAATCAGCACCATTTTCAAAGCAAAACTTATGGTAAGAATCAAAGAAAAAAGGGAGAAAAATAGAGAAAGAAGCCAATTAATGTATACCTTAAGGAAGAACCCACCAAGATCAGAACACATAGCGTAGATTTTATCAGCAGCAAGCTCATGTTGTTTTTCCCACATTGCTTCTTGCTTTTCCGCATCCTTCACAAAACTCACTCGAAGCTGAAACACCTATGGTATCAACAATTACCCAACAACCAAAAACCTATCAAAATTACTAGGAAACTAAAGCGGGAGATATCATAATAGATAAACAAATGAAGAAGAAACCTTGTAGCCAGTATAAATATCAGCTGCTCGAACCCAGAACTGAAATGAGCGATGCCAAGGTCTCAAACTATGAGAAACCTTCTCTTGAATACCTTTGAAATCGAAACCAGAAGCTAAAGCATTCATCCCCCCTTCAGTTTGGGTATTTATTGGAATTTATGTTAATGAAGAATCAAGGACTCTGCTTTTGATTAGCACAAGGAAGAATATTTAAGCTCCAAGTTTGGGTTCTTATTTATTGACGGTGAAAACGATGGAAACGGAGAAAACCCTTTTTACAAAGAGATCAAAGAGAGGAGTTGAAGGTAGAACGTGGAGAAAGCTACGAAAGTGAAATATTTGAGTGACCAAAATGGCAGTTGCTTGGTTTACAAGGCTTGCTTTTGGGTTTACTTTTGTTAATTTTTCCTTATAAAACAAAGTACAATCAAATGAGAAACAATAATATTCGGTAAAAATGCATCTGTGGTCCTCCACTATTAAAAATATATATGTAAAGTCCTTTTCTAAAACCTCTCCTACTTTTCTCACATTCGTTTTTATTGATGCCATCATCAATTTAAATGTTATTTATCGACTTTCGGTATTTTTTATTATTTATTATTTTCTTATATTATTATTATTTTTTTTTTTTTTTTTCAATAAATTTGTTTGTATGACATATTTTCATCTGTCTTTATGATACGATTTCGTCTATATTTTGACATAATTTTCGGTTGTTTGACATTTGTTTTCACTTATATTTTTCTAAGGGTTGATTTGGCATTGCAATGACTGATCAAGATGTCGCTTACTTGTTATATTGTTGATCTCACATCAGAGTCGTCTCAAATATTTTCAGGGCCCTGAGCGAAAATAAAAAATAGGGCATGAATCCCTGATTGAAGGAAAATATATTTTATTACTTTAATCAATTAATTTAATATAAAAAATTATTAAACTTTCTCGAACATTAGTTTCATTGTTTTATTAAGAAGACACCTTAAATACGACTAAGAGAATAATAAATTGAATGTGGGTATAAATTATGATATGGAGCTTGATTCTAAGTAATAAATTAAAAAATAAAGAATAACATAGTATGTTATTGTGAGATTGAGATTGGAGAAGACTAAGAGTTAAAGAACATTTGAAAATTTGAAAAATAAGATTTGTAATAAAAGATACAAATATGATCGGGTTTAATTCAAAATCAAAAGAATTAACGAGAGAGATGGAGAAATGGATGATAAATTGAGAATTTTATGAAATTGAAAAAAATTAGAAGCCTTAATTATAAACGTAGAAATCGATATTAAAAAAAATAGGGACCTCAATTATAAAGGTATAATTGAGTTTGAAAAAACTTAGGGGTCTCAATTAGAAAGTTAGAAAGTAAGATTAAAAAAAACTTAAGGGCCTCAATTTTAAAGTTAGAAAAGTGGAATTAAAAATTAAGGCCTCAATTATAAAGGCATAATTGAGATCGAAAAAACTTAGAGGCCTCAATTAGAAAGTTAGAAAGTGATATTAAAAAAACTTAAAGGCCTCAATTATAAAGTTAAAAAAGTAGGATTAAAAAATTAGGAGCTTCAGTTATAAAGGTAGAGATTGAGATTGAAAAAACTTAGGGGCCTCAATTGAAAATGTAGAAAGTGAGATTGAAAAATTTAAAAGCCTCAATTAAAAAGTTAAAAAGAGAGATTATAAAATTAGGGACCTCAATTATAAAAGTAAAAAAGAAATTTAAAAAAATTAGAGACTTCAATTATAAAGATAAAAAGTAAGATTGAATAATATTATGACATCAATTATAAAGGTAAAAAATAAAATTAAAAAATTAAGGACCTAACTATAAAGATGAAAAAATTGAGGCTCCAATTACAAAGATAAAAAATGGGGGTCCTGAGCAATCACTTAGGCGCTCCCCCTAATAGTTGAGTTTGTCTCCCATGCTTTGGACCTTGGATTTGGATATCTGTTATACGTTTGTGGATAGTTTTTCACGTCGTCAAAGTCTGATTTATAGTTTGTCAATGATTTTTCAATAGTTTGATTCTTTTTTTTGGTTCATTTGTCAGTACGATCATATCTGTTTGTATATATTTTTGTTCGAATTTCTTGAATAGATTTTAATCTTTCCTTGTGTGACTTTAATTTGCTAGTTTTATTTCAATGATTATAAAAAATTATCCTAATTATATGCTTAATTAACTATTATGCTTGTAAATCTTTATTTAATTTGAGATATTTTTTGTGTTAAATAAAAGGGGTGATTTCTATAAAAAAAGTTACAATCAAATGACTTTTTTTTATTATTTAGAATCAAATAGTACTATGAATATCATTCTAAATATTTCCTCAAACTTTTGAATATTTTAATTTCATCCCCAAACTATATCCATTATTCTAAATTAATCCCTAAACTTTTTTAACATTTCAATTTCATCCCATATTTTATGTATATACTAATCACATTCCATGTTAATAAATCGATAGGTCAACCTATATTATCATGTGTTTGAAAAAAATTAAAGTTTAAGTTAAACCATGGTTAAAACTAATTACATATTTGGATGAATTTGGGGATGAAATTGAAAGATTTAAAAGTGTAGGGACCAATTTAGAATGCAGGTTATAGTTTAAGGATGAAAATGAAATACTCAAAAGTTTAAGAACTAGTTTAGAATGAATATCATAATTTGAGGATGAAAATATAAATGAGAGCCATAGTTTGGGAACGTACAATGCAATTAACTCTTCATTATAACATTCACCTCAACCTCGCCGTTCTACTTATTGGATCAATTTATAGAACATCTCTCTCAAAAGTCATGAAATCACCAGAAGATCGTTCAAATGTTTTCAACCTCGATCTACATCGTCCACCGTTAGACGACTTGTATCTCATGATATGTTCATCTCACCAACGACAACCCCTCCATTTTGTTCGTCGAATGAAGCCCTCGGTCTTCAAAAAGTCCTGAACAATTAATTGAGTGACTCGATTATAATTTTTTGAAACACAACGATTATAAACGTACTAATAATAAAGTGACATGCAGTCCAATTTACCCAACAAAAAAATAATTAAAAATATTCTATAACATCACCTTTAAACCAATCTATTCAAATTAACTGAACTAATTCGAACTTGATCGGTTCGGCCGATCATAATCGAATGAGATTGATCATATCTTTTAGGTCACATTCAACTTCTGCTCTAATCCTATCTATAAACCAAGGCTTTTCCAACATGAAACTCCATTTGTAAAGTACTCATTCCTTCAATTCCACAAAGACAGCTCTAAACCTTTGCTCAACATGCTGTACTAACAATCTTTAATCTGTGTGTGTTTAACACTGATATACTTAATTCGTTTTTAAACTTTCTTTATATATGATTAAAAGATCGTATCGTAGAATGAGTCAGCGACGATAATGCCATTAGAAAGCCCTGCAATGGAACATTCAAAACATGTACAACATGTTTTGATTTCGGAATTATGTAACTAAATCATCCGGAACCAAGACTTTGTAACCTGATATTGAAGTCGATGCAATAATAGGATTTTCGAATCGAACCTGGCTAATAGGGCAAGTCTCCTTCAGGAAGGTCCCAATTATCATCTTCATCATCATTCTTCTTAGGGCCTTCCTCTTTTGCTTGTGTGAAAGCCTTTGGTTTAAAGCGTCTGAAAATAGGCAAAAAAGGGATCATTCAGTAAGCTATTTTCAGAGATCTATTGCTCCAAATTCCTTGAAACTGCATGGGAATTGGTCATTTTAATAACAAACCACTACTAGTGTTCAACACTCGTGTCCGAGAATATGACCGCACTAGTGTTGGACACATACCCGAGACCAAGAAACATAGCCTCAGACCACTGAAAATCTATGAGATGATTTGTTAGCTGTCAAATGGTTACTCAAAGTTAAATCTTCATTAACAACTGTGTATTTAATATGTAATTAGTTGCTTCTGTTCTTTGACACTCAAAAGCTGGTAAAAAGCCTAATTCTATTTGCTATGATAGGTTCTGCTTGATAACCAAAAGCAGAACACATACATATATTCAAGTGGCATATTGAGCAATAAACAGCGTTGAACATGTACCCATATCCGAAGTGTTAGGCACATATGCGTACCCGAAAATTAAGCAGAGTCCGAGTAACACAGCCTAAGACCTCTGAAAAATCAATCTAGACTGTATAAAAGTTAAAAAAGCCTTAAGAGTCGCATCCTATGGTGCTCATTAGCAGAAAATATACACATATTCGAGTAATATATTCAGCAAAAGGCAAATGAATACACGTTCGTCTTTGCAACCAATCTGAATCATCATTATGCTTATTGTCTGCTTAAGCTTCTAAACCATTGCACAATAGAAGCCGAATTCTATAATCCATGTGGGAACTGGTACATTTTGGGCAGGTTGAGTTGGTTCTGGGAAGGGTCAATATGGATTGGATCAACTCGGACTGAGTTTTATTCAGTCCTGGTAAATTTCAAGTTTGGGTCAATTCGTATTTGAGTCATTCGGGTTCATAGTACTAAATTGCAGCCGCAACGCCGCTACATCATGGCAACTGCAAACACATCCGTAATTTAACAACACAATTATTTTTAGGAAAATAAATCACGTCGTACCATCCGCAACTGCAATTTAATTCGGGTTTGATGGGAGATCCTCAACAAAACTAATCGGATTTTCTATCTCAGGTTCTAATTTTCTACTCACATTGAGCTCAATAAACCAATATCATCTGAGGCACTTTGATCGAGTTCCAATATCAATAAAACAAACAAACCAACCTTTTGCGGTTCCTTCTAGAGGCCTCTCTTGCTTTACGTTTCTTCTTCTCCTGCGAACTCTCGAAGAACATCCTCCTCTTGCACTCCTGGACGACACCGGCCTTAAACACGGCCCTCCGGAATCGGCCCAACAGCTTCTCCTCCGGTTCATTCTCGGCTACCACCACCTGAACGTTATAGCAAACCGATTTGAAGAAAAGGGTGTTCGAATACGCCAGCGATGGACATGTTACGGCATTGATTTCATCGGCCGCCGTCAGAGAGAGAGACAGAGAAGTCGGCGCCCATGTCGATTTGGGGTCCCACTGGGAAACCGGTGGGGCAAAATCTGATGGCTTTGGGGGGATTGATTGGGAAGGGAGGAGAGAGGAAAGTGATTTGGAGAGAGAAGTGAGGGAAAATGCCATTGATGATGACGACGATTTCTGTCTATGGGTTTTTGAAATCCGACGTTGAATTTGGACGACGAGTTAAAAATTTTAATTTTTTTTCTTCTAAATAATTGATAAATATTTTTTTAAATTTTCTTAACCCAATAAATTAAATTTAACTATTTTCATAAAATAATGATAATTTATTTGATTTTTACGTGACTTAGGGGTTGTTTGTTTACTTCAGAATAATTAAGCGCTGAATGATTCAAATACTAAATGATTCAGATGTTCTGTATGAATTAGCTCTGAATGTGACATGTTGTTTGATAATGACTCTGAATCATTCAGAATATACTTCTGTGCTGAATCATTCAGCACTGTTTTGTTGAATCAGTCAGCACTGAATCATTCAGAGGTACGAAATAAACGCGGCGCTGAATGATTCTATTAAGAGACAAACAAACAACCCCATAGTGCATCTGCCTCTATTTGGATTCATATCAAATAATTTGTTTTGTCGTGTTTGTTTTTTTTTCTTGTAAGTAATAAAGACAATTTAACTCGAAATCAATAGAATCCGATTTGATAAAGTCATTTTTTTAATAAAAATATTAAATTCGATTCAATTCTTATATAAGATGATATTAGATTGAGTTGAATTTGGAGTTTTTTTAAACACCTTTATAGGCATTGTACTCGAACTTATAATCTCTAATAATAATCATCCCTTCAACAATTAAGATCACTTGATTCGTGCTAATATAATGTAGAATTAGAGTTTAATTAAAAATAAGAGTTAATTGTATTATATGTCAACTAAACTATGACTCTCATTTCAAATTGGTTCTTAAACTTTTAAACATCCTAATTTCATCCCAAAACTATGACTATCATTCTAAATTAATCCTAAAACTTTTAACATTTCATTTTAATCCCCAGACTATGCTCTTCATTCTAAATTGATTCCCAAACTTTCGCATCTTCAATTTTATCTCCAAATTCATCCAAATATGTAATCCATTTGAACCATATTTTTGGAGACCAATTTAGAATGAAGATCGTAGTTTGGGGATGAAAATGAAAAGTTTAAAAGTTTAAAGACCAATTTAAATTAAGGGTCATAGATTGGGGGCATATGATGTAATTAACTCGAAAAGTAATTATTCAAATTATATCTTTTAATTACTTTAAGTTTCCAATTTTTTTCATTAAAATAGATATCTAATGTTTATTATGTTACTATTTAAAGTATTTAAAATTTTATTTTGTTATCATTTTAATATCATTTAGTCTAACTATAGTTGAAAAAATTCATCAACCATCACTAACAAGATCCGTTAAGCTTATAACTAGTGCAAATGTAAGTTTTTCTCAAAATGTACTCATATTTACACACCCAAGTAGGGATGAGTATGGGTCGGGTTAAGTCGGATTTTTGGTCCATCCCACCCGACCCGAGAACAAGAGCGCCTCCACCCGAGACCCGACCCGACCAAAATAAGGTTTCACCCGACTCGAAATAATAATAAAAATTATTTTTATTCAATAAAAACAATGATTTAATTGAAAAAAATTATATATAGAGGGGTATTATTGTAATTATTTCTAAATATATAAGGTAAAATTATATATATTTTTCGGATTGGATCGGGTATTTTTCAGCCTAAACCCGAACCCGATCTAACCCGAATATCACACTTAAAAAAATCCGACTCAATCCTAAATTTTTATAAAAAAATCCGACCTGATCGGATTCGGGTTCGGGTTAAGTGCCCATCCCTACACCCAAGGTGTTAATACTCTTGGCTTTGATGGGCATTAACCTTAAGTGAATCTGCTAGTATTCACCATTAGGTTTGGGGATTTTGATTGTTCCCTTTGAAAGATCGTACGACAGGCTAATACTCTTGGCTTGCAATGTACTTTATGCCGACTCCAGCGCTCGGGAAGCTAGAAGCGCCATCTCGGAATGTAGTCGGAGACACGATACCGCCATCTAAAACCGGAAAAGTTCTAGGCATTAAACAACATTCTAATGAAATGCAGACATTGGAATGTTCTTAAAAGGCGTAGATCGGAGAGATGGAAGTCCAAGAACTGATGCAGAGATTTGTATCGTCTCTTTGCTTACCGTATAGCATTCTCTATCGGTGTCCGAGTCGGCAACATGAAGGGCCCACGTACGGATCCATTCAAGCCCTTCAGAGATTTCGATATTTCCTTCAACCAAGGAAGATGCTATAGAAGGAGGATGAAGAGAAACAAGCACACATGAAGCTGCAAAAAGAACAGCTCTTCTGACATATGCTTCTTTGTGATGGCTTACCTCCCTGCATTAACAAAATCGGGTAATGGCAGATAATCAAATTATGTACCCATGAAGATTTGAAGTAAAACAGATGATAACCAAAACCATCGTCGAATGAACAAAGTATAACACATGTTTTTATGTAGTCTCATGGCCACACGCTTATGAGTCCTTCACAACCATGTGAAAGGGATCGAATAGCTTGCCAATATATGTATCATCAGACACCAGATGTTGAGTCAAGTTCCTGGATCTTAACATATCAAGAAGAAGGGGAGCCAATGCAGATGCTTCCGGATGCATCGATATACATTTCATACAGACACCGAGCATATAGATGAGTTTTCCAAGGACAAGAAAATCTACCAAGCAAGTCAACACCTTGCCTTTTCTTATCAAATCCCTGCATAGCTGGAAGCATAAATGCCGCCGCATATAGAGGAAACTTATTTTGAGACCATTCGATTTGGTTTTCATGTAGATTTCCAGATCTAAGGCTCCACCTGCGAGTCTTTCCTCTCTTGACATGCCCACCTTTTAGTGGAAGTTCTCTTTCATATCGGTTTGACCAGTTTAGAAGGGTTCCGATATCTGAGACCTGTTTCCAGGATCCAGCTCCTGGAGGCCCCGTATTGCTTGGCAAGAAACATAGTTGAGGTTCTGAAATGGTTGATATGAGGGGACCTGTTTGATGTTTAGGTTTCATAGTTTTAGTATTGGCAAGCTCCTCTGCTGCCAGAGTCATGACATCGAGTATCATTATTCGTTGACTAACATCTACATTTGGTGAATATAATAGTTTGTTTAGAGTATCAAGAGATTCAAATGGACGCATGACAACGATTGCTATTAAAGCTCTTTGCCGCTTCTCCTCAGCCGATTCTTCCTCACCTTCTACAGCCGCATCGGAGCAACGAACCTGTACAAGAGTTCGAGCAAGATCACCTGCTAAATGTGCCAGTTCATCGGGTGATGCTCGTATAAGACTTTCAGCAACATCTAGAGCCCTCTCTACCTTCAGAGTAGAAACATACAAAATTGAGTCCTTTTACTAAAATTCTCCAGATATACGTTAAATGCCTTCCTCAATAATCTCTGTGTCATATATCTTCGGTCAAAATATATCACCAGTCCCTGTACTTGAATGAAATTTGGATTGTCATTGTACTTAAAAAGTTAAAAGTTGAACCCTTAATTTTCCAATTTAAAATCGTAGTCTAATCGTTGACGGCATTAATATTGTCCATCAATATCCATTGAATCATACCAAATTTGGGAGCAAATCATAGTCAGTTGAGCAGCCGAAGGAAAAGAGAAACCCAATGAAGTAGCTGATATAAATTTTTCTAACAGTTATTATTACTCAAAGAGTCTTCATAGTCCGTATCAAAGTTTAGACGTCATAGATGACACAAACCGAATGATTTTAATGAAGACTGAACTGTGAACTCAAACTTACCCCATCAGCATCATCAGATTTCCTTAAGGCTCCAACCACATCAACCAGCTGTGAAAATTTTCTTTTCAGATCTGTGTCATCATCTGTCAAGTCATATGGCTGCAGAGAGGAGTCACTTGAATCAGAATTCTGACTTGCATTATCGTCATCGTTTTCATCTGAGGCTGATTCATAATTTAGAGTAGCTTGATGAATAATCTCATCTGGATCAACCAAACTGAACTCAGAGGTATATCTAATGGAATAATTGAAAATTAAATAAATAAAAAAACTTTAATCATGCGGGTTCCTTTTATGCCTATCTCCTAACCAAAAAAGCACACCAAGACACAGATGGACCTCACCCGAAAGGATTTGAGGCGCTTTTGCAGTCTAGTGCTGAAGTGCAGGCATCTGTAGGCACACACCTAGACAACTCTTATTTAGAAGAAAGTAACCATACGATGATATGATTCCCACAATAACAATGAAGTTTCTACAGCTTGCATGTCTAATAATTGTCAACCAAATTGAGAGCTTTTAATTTGATGTGTCAAAGTAGTAAAGGATACAAGCTTGCTGCTCTAGTGGAGCTGATTGCACAAAGTCTCTTTTTGACCATACGGCAGCCACGCGTTCCGCTTGTGTGCAAGAGGCCATTGGTGGTTTCGTGACCCTTAGTTTGCAAATCATTAATGGTGAGTATTCAAGAACGGAAAATTGCAAGATCCACCGCAGGCAACGAACAGGAAATACTTTCCACAGTAAAAAATTTTCAACAAACATGGACCTGAGAGAGAAAAGTATGAAAAAGAACATCAGCTATAAACAGAAACAAAGAAGTACAACGTGTTATACTATTTATCTGCATAGTAAGAAATACTTCTGAATTGCACAACAATTTGCATGCCGCACAGTTCAACTAAAGAAACCAAGAGACTCCTATTATGGTTGGATACCCAAGTTTCAATTACCTTCTGGGTAAATATACAAACAAGTCCAACGAAGGAAAAGAAAAGGAAGGTTCATTCTACAATTTATTGTATTCGAGACTGTCAAGTTGCATGCAAATTATCCAAGTTAATGTCATTAATTATAATGATTAATGACCACGCAATGGTCATTTCTTCTGGTCCGAATGACCCAGATGCAATAAAAGGATCATTCCAATTGAATAACGCATATTGTCAGCTACACTTGAACAAAGAAATTGACATAACAAACGTTCACTGACCTGACTGATGACTGAACTTGTAGTAAATGATGAAACAATATCCAAAGAATCCAATAAGCTTCAATATCATGACTTGCATGTTCAGTTGCAAGCTGACGCAAAAGCTGTTCTGCAACTCTATCTACAGTGTAGGGGTCTGTTATCGCTTCCATTATCTTTAACCACAATTGAGATTCAGGGTTTGACTCAAATGCATCAGTTTCAACTACATCAGTGTTCGAAGATAAGCAACTTCGAAAGTGTCTAAGGATCTGGGGGTTACTTCACTTAACAGCACATCTGCAAGCAATGAATGTAGTTACTTCAGTGTCAATTTCACCACCATCTTGCTTTCCTAAAGAGGAAAAAGAGAGGGAAAAAAATGAACGTCTTCAGCTGTGTGTGATGGAATGAACAGAATATTCGGATATAATTTGCCTTTAAATGAACCAGGAAATTTAAATTTCACGTGGTTAATGCCATGTGAAATTTGAAAAACATAAACATTCATGATTCAGGACGCTCATGCCTGTTTACCGACTTATAAAAACTAATAGTGATGAATGTTCTTTTAGTGTTAACACAGCCATTGAGGAAAAAAAAAGAAACTTTTGAACTCCAAGCAGCATGCCTAGTGTTAGCCATATATCAGTTTGACTGAAATCAGTTTTCATTGTGATGGAGTATATGGCTTAATTATCAGTCTGTGCATTTTATGCATTTAGGTTCTTTGATTCTTTCAGCTTTATCCTCTCGTTGCTGAACCTTTTTCATTGCTTTTCTGGAGGTTGTTGCTCATATGATGCCTGATCTTCCTAATGTTGGTGTTGAGACTTGAGAGAGACTAGGAAAGTTTCAAGGAGTTTCTTGAGAGCCCTTTATTTCGAGCTGATGGGCTTAAAATCTATCCCACCCTTGTAATCCGTGGAACTGGCCTTTATGAGCTTTGGAAAACTGGCATGGATGACTCGGGCTTGAAGTGTCGCGATGTTCAAACACGTGAAGCTGGAATTCAGGTAACGAGAATTGATGTTTCTTCTCAGGAATCCGGTCATGGCTTCATGTTGTTGAGAGTATAATACTAACATGTCTTTCGATGGAGGACATTAACGTCGAGCTTGTTCGGCGTGAGTATACAGCAAATGAAGGTTGGGAAACATTTCTGTCATACGAAGATACACTTCAGGTACTGCGATGACCCCCATTGATGTGTGTCTACAGTTGACTCGCTTCTTGCAAACAAATATCTATGTCATGTCCTCTTAACCGGCCGGCCTAACTTTCCAGTTTTAGGAGACAAGTACGATACCTTGTGCAACTTGAAACTTTTTTCATCTCTTTCAATAATGGTGTACATCTCTAAGCACATTTCTTTCGGATGCACTGATACACAGGATATTCTTGTTGGGTTGTTGCGACTGCGGGAATGTGGCCGGAATACTACTTGCCCTGAACTCCATGTATATGGATGGAACTGCTGTTCCAGTTCACGGCAGAGATGCTGATAAGCTACAACACCAGGTAATGATGAAATCTTTACCACGAAAATATAACCTAGAAAGAACCAAGTAGATGGAAAAACTTCAATGAAATTAAGTAGAGCTGTAATCAAGCTGAACCAAACTCAAACAGTCAGAAGCTCGAGCTCAAGCCGAAATTTACTGCTTGAAACTTGGCTCAAGCTCCATTCTAACTAGAACCGCTCTATTTGATCGATTAAGCTCAAATACTCGAACTTGACTCAATCGATAATGACTTAATCGAATATGAGTTTGTTTTCCAAGTTGAATTCGAGTAGCTCTCGAGCAAGAGTATCCCATTGAAACTCGTGTTGGGAACATACTCGTAGATTGGAACATCCGAGTTCGAGTAACACAGTGCATATGTTGCAGGGTTATGGTACACAGTTGATGGAAGAAGCGGAGCGAATAGCTGCAAGGGAGCACAGGTCAACAAAAATAGCAGTGATATCGGGAGTAGGAACCCGCCATACAGGAAATTGGGGTATGAGCTGGAAGGGCCTTGCATGGTGAAATCTCTTGTTTGATTATTCAAACCAACTTTGCTTTTGAGTTTGTAATTTGTTTGTATTGGACCATCGTTACAGTAGACTTGACCGGTATGTTACACTAATACGAGTAGAGATATTGTAGATTTAGATAATTCTACTTGAATTGGAGTACTATTTAATAATATTATTATTCAAGGAGTGTAATCTGCATGTGTGACTTTAAATCTAGGTCCTTTTTAAAAATAATATTTTATAAAAATATATTACATTATTATTTTTAGGGTAAATTATGCGTTTGGTACTTAAACTATAAGTTTTGCTCCAATTTAATGCTTAAACTTTCAATTTTTTCAAAACCATACTTAAAGTTTAGTTTTTGTTTCATTTTAGTACCCATTTTTTGTTTCATTTTAGTACTCATGTTTAAAATTTAATGTTAATTTTAAAAAAAAAAGTTTAGGTACTAAAACGGGTCAAAATTGATAGTTTTAGATACTAAATGCATTAAAAATTTAATGACGGGTATTAAAATGAAATGAAAACTAAACATTAGATATGATTTTTAAAAATAGAAGTTTAGACATAAAAATAAAACAAAACTAATAGTTTAAATACTAAATACGTAATTTACCCTTATTTATGATTGGGAAATAATCATTAAATTAGTAACAGAGAGTTGATGTGGTAGTTTTAAATTTTATGTAATAATACATTCAGTCCTTTCTATTTCAATGTTTAATCGATTTAGTCTTCAATCAATATAAATCATTAAATATAATCTCTAAAATAACACGCGTCATTAATTATAAAATATATAAATGAGTTTAGAGTGAATAAACTTGAGATCCAAGGTTTATCATAATCTCCTAAACCCTAAATCCAAAACCTAAACTTATATCGTAAGAAGACCCCAACCCGAAACACATCACAAGGAGGTCGTAAACCCTAAACCCGAAATCTAGGCCTGTGTCACAGGAATACATACATACATCTGCAATCAAAGATGTACCAAATTGAAAACATAAATTCTACTTATAAGTCCCTGACATCAATCAGGAAACAGGATAGAGAAACGGCTCTAAAACATAACAAATCCAGAATTCATTGCAGTTTAGAAACAACATCACATCTGCGTCTGTGCTGTCCATTCTGAAACTTCCATGACATACAAGAATGTAAACACATTCTTTTTAACTTTTCTAACTCCGAGGAAGCAATCTTCGTCGTTTTATCCTCCTCCTCCCTGCAACCAAAAACAAAGGAAAGATTAGGGGATGGTTGAGATTAGGTTTAAAATGGCTTATAGGTCCGAGTAGCTGACCAGCGTAAGCAAAACTAATTGAATTATGGCTACAATTTGTTACACACAAGAAAAGGTAGTGAACAAGTACTAAAATAGAAGCATAATAAACTAAAAACGACTAAAATTAGGGGTGTATTCGGTTCGGTTTTTTACCAAAAATTGAATCGAACCGAAATAAACGGTTTTTCAAAATTTAAACCGAAACCGAAAATACCGAAACCGGTTTTCTCGGTTCGGTTCGGTTTTTTTAACGGTTCGGGTTTTTCGGTTTTGCAATGAAAAAATCACTTGAAACTATAATTTTTTTTAAAAAAATTGCTTATTCGATTCAATATAGAACAAATGGTTCCATATGGAAAACCCGAACCGAACCGAATCAAAATAATTAAGACTTTAAACCGAACCAAAAATCGAATTGTTTTACTCGATTCGTGTCGATTTTTCGATTTTCTCAATTTCGTTGCTCAGCCCTAATTAAAATGACTCTTTTACTCCTTTTATCGGATAACAGGGAATCGAAACATGCCCTATCGTTTTCTAATCACTATTCGAATATATCCAAAACCACATTTCATATTCAAATAACGGAGTTTCTTTTAAAGAAAACTTTTCTTCCCATCAAGGCAAATCTCAAAAACAAGATGTGTAAAATCAAACCCTTAGGTGGCATTTGGTTCGCTGGAATGTTTATGAGGGAATTGGAATCTGAATATAAAACATGTTTGGTTGGCAGAAAATTGAATTGGAATCCAATTCCATATTCTGTTTGGTTCGCAGACATGTCAGATGAATTTGATTTCAGTAACGTAAAATGACAAAATTGCCCTTTTTTTTTTTTGCTTAATTTTAGTTTGTTTTATAACTTACATGTAGCAATATATTATAAAAATTTAAAAAATATTAAATTTTCATTTTATTGATTGATTATTCATTTCAATAAATTATAAAAATCATACTAATAAACATCATAAATTAAAATCATCCCAATTAGGGATGGCCATGGGTCGGGTTGGGTCGAGTTTTTGGTCCACCCGACCCGACCCGAGAACAAGGGAACCTCCACCCGAGACCCGACCCGACCAAAATAAAGTTTCACCCGACCCGACCCGAATATATGAATTAGAAATCCGACCCGAAATAATAAAAAATTATTTTTATTCAATAAAAACAGTGACTTAATTGAAAAAAATTATATATAGAGGGGTATTATTGTAATTATTCCTAAATATATAAGGTAAAATTGTATTTATTCGGGTCGGTTCGGGTATTTTCACCCTAAACCCGAACCTAACCCTACCCGATCCGACCCGTATATCAAACTTAAAAAAACCCGACCCGATCCGAATATCATGCTTAAAAAACCCGACCGACCCGAATATCAAACTTAAAAAAACCCGACCTGAATACCAAAAGATTGATGAGGATAGTATAGTCAAATTTCACATTCCCTCCTCCAAACGATTTCAATTCCATCATGTTATGGATGGAATTTACTTTCCCTCCCTTGATGAATTGGATTCCAATTCCCCCTTTGAAAACTTGAACCAAACATGAAAAGTGGTGGAATTAGATTTCAATTCCCCCTAATTCCAAGGGATTCCAGCGAACCCACCTTAGAAAATATGATGTTGTTATTCGAACCACTTACTGCTATCTGAAAAGTGGAAAGTTCTATCGTAAGGTTTAACATGCAAAGCTGGTGCTGCTGAAACAAGTAATCAATGACAATAACCAATTAATAGAAGCGAGAAAGCAAAAATGCAAAAGAATATTACCAATTACGAAGGTTTAGCTTTCCGTCCAACTTGTGACACTCGCCTTAGCACTTGGGTTTCCCTCTTCATATCTCTGCAATATAAATGGAAGTCCTAAATGTAAGGTATGGCTCATAAATATATCAATTATATCCATTTTGATCAGAGACTCTGAAGAGCATTACGGTTATCGAACGGTCGATGACGATATGGAATTTCGATATTTGGGTCATCGAACATCTGGTTGGATCATATCTCCATGTCTCGGTGTCAGGACGGGCTCATTGATGCGATTCAGGGGTCCACTGCCATCACCATCTCAAACTGTCATTTCATCCGTCAAAATGGAGTAAAATTTTATCTTGAGATACTCGAGCTACATGTTTTGTCACCCGATTTCGACTTAATGTTTTCGAATTTTCTTTCAGGTGATTGTTCGATGCGAGTGATAGTTATTCTAACGATCGATACATGCAAATCACACTTGTGTTTAACCGTTTTGGTGAGAAATTAGCACAAAAATGCCTAGATGCCGATGGGGACTCTTTCATGTCGTCAACAATGACTATGTTCACCGGCAAATGTATGCCATTGGTGGTAGCATGCATCCTACCATTATTAGCAAAGGCAATAGGTTCACTGCTTCGCATAACGGCTTTGCTAAGGAGGTAAACCAAAATACAAATAAAAAATGTTAGCAAACAAAAACTGATAGTTTAAGTACTAAACACGTTAAGTTTTTAACGGGAGGTACTAAAATGAAATGAAAACTAAACATTAGGTGTGATTTTTGAAAAAAAGTGAAACTTAGGTACTAAAACATATTAAAACTGATAGTTTAGGTACTAAATGTATAGTTTACCCTATAAAAATTGACAGAATTCATAAACTTTGTAATTGCATTAAAAACAAGAGTAAACTACATGTTTAGTGCTAGAATTATCATTTTTGTTCCGTTTTGATCACTTGACATTTTTTTCAAAATTTATAACGTTATGTTTTAGAGTTATTTTGATCACTCGCCGTTAAAAAACAATAATGATTTTGACGTGTAATAATAAGATAATGTCACATCATCATTGAAAAAATTTAAAAAAAATATCACATCAACAATTATTTTACTTTTTTTAACGGTAGTGACTAAAATAAAACCAAAATACAACATTAGGTATGATTTTGAAAAAACATAATGCTAATATTAACCCTCAACATTTATCAAAATGATCATTTTGGTCCTTATTCTTTTTTTGGAGCATTTTAACACCCAACATTTTATTTTAGGGAAAAAAGGGCCCTAACGTTTGATTGAATAGTCACTTTAACACATGTTCTTTCTTTCTAGAGCATTTTGACCTCAACATTTCATTTTAAGGTAAAAAAAACTCTTATTTTAAAGCATTAATCGTTTGTTAACTAATGATTTTCATTCATAGAGAGATCTTTTTACTACAAAATAAAACGTTAGGGTCAAGATACTTCAAAAAAAAGAATAGAAACCAAAATAACTCTTTTTTACATTATGCCTTTGAAAAAAAATCGAGTGACCTAAACGAAACAAATGTAATAATTTAGGTACTAAACGTGTAATTTATCCTAAAAACAAAGCGACCAAGAATACATCAGTTGTTATATCATAAATCTATTTTTGCAGATAACCAAGAGAATGTATGCTTCGGAATCAGAATGGAAGAATTGGATATGGAGATCAGAAGGAGACTTATTCATAAACGGCGCCGTTTTTAGAACTTCTGGGCCACCTTCGCCTCCACATTTTACATTCAACCATAAGGAGACGATCAAATTCAGGCCTGCAACTTATGTTGCATGACTCACTCGTTTTGCAGGTGCCTTGGACTACAAGAAAAGAATCCCATGCTACCCTTATAACACAATTACTCCCGACTCTCCAACGTTTGCACAAATAGTCATTTTGTCCCCTATCCCTTTTTAGAGCATTTTAGCTCC